TGCAGTCCCGTGGGAGGGGGTTTTGGGGGTCCCCGGAGGGTGAGGGCCCCTCGGGGGCGTCTTGGGGTGCTTGGGGCGAGCGTGGGGGGCTGAAGGGCCGGGGGGTGGCTCTGGGTTTGGGGCTGAGTCCCTGCAGTGGGTCTCGGCGATCCCCCAGTTTGGGTCTCGGGGGTCCCCAGATTGGATCTCAGGGGTCCCCAAGTCGGGTCTCGGGGGTCCCCAAGTTAGCCACCCCAGGAGAGGGTCCCCCAAGGGCGGGTGGGGGGCTCGGTGCCCCCAGGAGAAGGGGGGAGCGCAGCTGAGCCCCCTCAGAGCGAGCTTACCTCTCCGCTGAGAGGGGCGACGCAGCGGGGCGCCCGCCGACGCCCCCCCGGGGGGTGGCGGGGCCTCAGAAGCTGCCGCTGGCGGACGAGGTGATCGAATCCGGGCTGGTGCAGGACTTCGACGCCAGCCTGTCGGGCATCGGCCAGGAGCTGGGCGCTGGGGCCTACAGCATGAGGTAGGTGGGCTGCTCCGGCCACCCTAAAGGGTCCATCCTGCACCTGGGAGAGGGGCTGGCCGCCCCCGGGGGCTCGGGGTGGGCTGGGGAGCCCTAAAATGCACCTAAAATGGGGGACCGATGCTTGGCGGTCGTGGCGTCGCACCGGGGGACGGTTCAGGAGGGAGCCGGGCGCTCAGCTCCGGCACCAACCCTGGGACGTGGTGGTGGCCGCTTGACATTGGGATGGAGTCGCGGTTGCCCGTTGGCCGCTCAGGGCTTTGGGGGCTCGCTGGGCGGCCCTTTCGGAGAGTGGATGCGCTCGAGGTCGCGGGGCTGCGCAGCCCCTGCGCCGCTCTCGGTCTTTGGCCTCCTTGTGTCCTCAAACTGCAGCTAAATCGCCCAGCGTTAGTCCCACGCTTCTCCTCCGCTGCTGGTTAGAAGAGCCCGTGGCCGGTTGCTTTGTTTTTATGGCCCTAATTAATTACCCTCCTGGAGGAACACCAGCAGGTTTTTTTGGGGGGAGACCAGCTCTGTCCTGACCGAGGTAAACCAGGCGCAAAGGAGAGGAGCAGGACCCCCACGGGATCAAACGCCCCGTGCATGAGTGCAATGATCGGAATCGGGACCTCGTAGCGTCGGATGCTCAAACCCCGTTGCACAAGTACGTGGCCCGTGCTCTGGAGATGGGTCCCAGCTTGCTTTGCTACTCTGCCCTCCAGATCCCAGCTCTGGCATCCAGCCGCTCGGCCGAGCCTCCGTGCAGCGGCGAGGCCCAAGCGCCGCGTTGCGCTCGCCGTTCCAGACCCGATAACGCCTCGTTTCTGGCTGTGTGAGTTACAACGGGGACGCGCAGCCCGTGGATGTGGCGTTGGACTGGACGGCGTTTGCCGAGTCGGTCTGCAAGCAGCCACGCACTTCCCCAACGCCGTCCTTGATTAATCAGCTCCATCGTGGGCCGGTGCAGGTCCAGCGCCGTCTGCGAGAGAGCTGCCTTGGTGTAATTTGGGGTGGGAGCTTCATTAGTTCAAATGCGACTTCTGTTCCGCTTGTTTTCATCCCGGGATGCTCCTCGGCTGGAAGCGAGGAGGGAGGACGAGACGGATCCCTCCCTGCAGACCCGAGGCAGGAGCTGGGCACGCAGGCGGGCGGTGAAGAAAGGTCTGGAGGTTGGGGCTGAGGTTAAGCCGTCCAGGAGGAGGAGGATGCCGCAGGAGGACGCCTTGATGCAGGATGGGGGCTTTCTGAGGGAGCTGCAATTGGAAATGGTAAAAGTCAGAATTAAAAATGACCCATCACGGTAAAACAGGCTGGAAAGCTTCCAGCCCGTTGCTCTTTTCCAGGGGAAGTGGAAGAGCAGCTCTTCTCATCCAGCCTCCGTCTCTCCTTCCTTCCAGGGATGGGGAGAGCCAGCACCTTCCCAAAGTTATCCCCGACTGCCGTTAGGATCTGTCACGACCTTTGGGCTTTGTTTAGTGGGAGCACTCGGAAAAAAACAGAGTCCCAAAGGTGTGCGAGCTCGGAGGGAGCGCGTCCGTCACCTCGGCAATAGCAACACCGAGCGCTGCTGTGACCGGCAGCTTTTTGGAGGCGGGATTCCTCCTTCGTTACCTGTGATGGGGAGGGAGGGAATGAGTTTCCAGTGCTTTGGGGGGGAGTCCTGAAGCTTGGAAGCTCCTTTTCCTCCCCTTTCCCCTTCCTTTTGGGCGAGGGGTCCTGTGCACAAACTCTCCCCTCTCAGAGGGGGTGAGCAAAGGTGTCGTGGATCATCTTAACATACAGCCTTGCCGCCCTCAAGCTAAAACGCATTGGCCGTGCATCCGAAGTTTTAATTGCGTGAGGAAACCTTCGGTTAGCTTGCAGCTTTGAAGGGTTTACATCCTTTACCTGACCCAGCCAGGCGCCGGTTTTCAGCACCGGAGGTTCGAGCGGAGGTTTCCCGAGGCCGCGGCTCTGCACGTCCCCGTGCCGGGCACCAACCCGGCTGCAAAGCGTTTCCACGCCGGTATTACCGGTGCCAAAGGGCTTTGAGCTCCGTGTCGGTGACGCGGTGGCTGTGCCGCTGCTCTGAGCCCGACCTGCTGCCGAGCGAGGGCCGTCTGAAACCCGACTCTCTTTTTCGGAGACTTTTCTTGACCTACGCTGCCCGTAAATAGAGCGTGTGCCCCCGTAGGTGAGCGCGCCGACCTTCCTGTCCTGACATCTGACATTTTCTCTCCGTGTCGCGGGAAGGGGGGAAAGGTTTCAACAGGCACCTCGGGTTTTGAGCGTGTTTGGGGCTTTTCCGTGCTTGCCCCGTGGGGCTTTTCCGCTTTTCTTCCTTCTCCCTATGGAAGAGGCACAGTACTACCTTGGGAACGAGCGCTGGTAGGTGGTGGTTGGAGATGAGGGTTGTCGCTTCGCTGGGAGCTTTTTCTCGTTTGAGTTGCACGGTAGGATTGTGCTTGGTGTTTGTTAACGAACCTGAATTCGTGGCGTTACTGTTGTTCCCTGGAATTAGGTTTTTAGGAGAGCAGAGGTGGCTTCAGAGGTGATAACCAGGCATTGGCTGAACACTCCCATCCGCAGAGTTTTTCCGTAATTATTTATTTTCCCTCTTTTCCAGGAGATTCTCTCCCACCCCAGAGCCAGAGGCCTTAAGTGACGTGTCTTTCCGCAAAAGCATGTTAAATTGCACAGTGAACTATTGGGTTTTTTAAGGGGAGACGTGTCCCCAGGAGTTGCAGGAGCTTCTCCAGGTGCCTTCGGCGCAGGCAGGACCGCGCGGGGCTTTGTCAAAAGGAAAATCCGCTGACGGCTGCTGGGTTTGGCCGCGCTGGGCATCGCGGGGACGTCGCAGGGGGCTGCTCGCGGGACGTCGGTACTTGAAGGACTCGCAGCTTCCTGGCTCTCCCCAAAAAATGATTGCTCTTGAACTTGGCGGGAGACTATCAGGAGGCAAAATAGCAAAGTACTTTCTGCGCCGTGATGAATCGCTTTGCAGGTCGCGGCCGCGGCTGCGGCGTTCTGCTGCCGTTTGCAG